TCTTCATAAAAGCCAGAAAGTATATGGAGAGTTAGGTAGTAAATCTGCTAATGGTCCCAGAAATTTTCTAACAATGTCTCTTTGATGCATACTCTATTCTTTCCATCAACAAAACATAAGGACTGCCAATGGTGCCAACATCAGAATAATTTTCAAAAGGTAGCTGGGGTGCTGATACACTCATTCTACATACACTAATGCCAGCCTGGCCCCTGGCAATACTATATAAACATTGGAAGGAAAAAAAATTTGGAAAATAAATGCCTGAGGTAGTGTCTTTAAAAAAAAATCTTAATAGTACTTCAGAAATCATTCAAAAAGAAGCCTTAGGCAAACCAAATGTCTTTTATCTAGGAATAAAGGAAGACTTTTCATAGAAACTATTTACATATTTTAAGAGTATTTCCTGTCTCAACATAAGAAAATCTAATCCAAAAAACAGCAGATTAAGTGATTGCTGTTTCTGCTCATGCTCTAAACAATAAAGAGACTATTTTCACAGATCTGCAATGTTTCTGGAAAAAAACTTTACACCTCATAAATAAATTGCTAGAACTACTTGCAAAACCAAGTGCATGTTGTCTAATAAGTTTGCATTTGCAAAGTGCAATTTATTGTAGACATAGTTCAAATAGACTCAGTGAAAATTTTGTCTTATGAGTACTATTAATACCAAAAATAATTTATAGGCATTTCATGGTAGAACATTTTATAAATATATTTGCCCAGGTTGCTCTGTTTCCTTCCATTCTGCTCCCTTTGGGATAATTGAGCAAAGTAAAGGAAATGGAAAGTTAACATAAGATAATGGAAGGCTATAGAAAATGTTCTTCCCTTCATATGAGCATGAAGCCAAATCCATCATTGTAACAGTTTTAAGAATTTGTATAACACTTTCATTCAACAATATTTTAGAACGTAAAAATTAATTTTCTGATGAGAAAATTTACTCAAAAGCCTTGCCTCATCATAATATAGAAGTGTGCTCATGTCGTTCAGGATTTTCAAGATTAAAGGATTACTTGCATATTTTTGAAAAGTGGGCTATTAGAGGAATCAAATGCTTATAACTTATCTCTATCATGAATAAAGAAATAGGCTGAAACCAGAGATTTGGATACTTTAGATTCTCATTTTAAGAGTCCATTTTGCCCGATCTGAACTCCTGGGAAGAATCTGGTTTTCAGAAGATGGGAACTCTGCACTTCCTAAGTACTCAGCACTTTCTAGGTACCTTAAGCTGGACACTCAAAAATTTCAAGTCACTTGAAAAATACAGACCAGGATCTGTTTGTGAAAGAGCATATCTCCAAAAAACATAGAGATTCAGAGATAATAATGTTGTAGTTACGGCTCTAGTGATTTTAATGTAAGAAATTTTAACATAAAAACAGTGCAACCATGCTGCTTTTTAGTGCTTTGATTTTAACTCTGAATATCATTTATATGATTTCACATTTTAAATTCCAGATGACCCAAGAATCTGCATGACATCATGCATTCAGAACTACTACATGTAAGTATAGTTCTTCAAGCCAGTACATTTTTCCAAAGAAAAAGTGCATGTTTTGCTACATAAATCAATATTGTGTTGTCCCATTCCTTTTAACTATTACCTACCTGAAAACAGTGGCTTTGGAAAGAGACTTGGGAAATGCTAAATAGATAGCCGATCATACACCATCAAGGTCTTTTAAAGCTTATGGACTAATGTGATGAGGAGAGGAATGTTGAACAGAGAGTGTATGAAGGTTAAATGCTGCCTCTAGATTTGGAACTAATATACTTTTAGCATATTGTGTGCAGTTCTGGTATCAGCATTTCTGAAAGCATACTCAAGGCTTTCAACACTGTCTCCCATCACATCCTCCTAGGCAAGCTCAGGAAGTGTGGGCTGGAGGAGTGGACAGTGAGGTGGATTGAAAACTGGCTGGATGGCAGAGCTCAGAGGGTTGTGGTCAGTGGCACAGAGTCTAGTTGGAGGCCTGTAGCTAGTGGTGTCCCCCAGGGGTCAGTCCTGGGTCCAGTCTTGTTCAATGTATTCCTCAGTGACCTGGAGGAAGGGACAGAGTGCCCCCTCAGCAAGTTTGCTGATGATACTAAACTGGGGGGAGAGGCTGAGACACCAGAAGACTGTGCTGCCCTTCAGAGGGACCTGGACAGGCTGGAGAGATGGATGGAGGGGAACCTCCTGAAGTTCAACCAAGGCAAGTGCAGGGTCCTGCACCTGGGGAGGAATAACCCCATGCCCCAGGACAGGCTGGAGGGAGGTGATCCTGCCCCTCTACTCAGCCCTGGGGAGGCCCCACCTGGAGTCCTGTGTCCAGTGCTGGGCTCCCCAGTACAAGAGAGACATGGAGCTCCTGGAGAGAGTCCAGTGGAGGGCTATGAAGATGATGAGGGGACTGGAGCATCTCTCCTATGAGGAAAGGCTGAGGGAGCTGGGCCTGTTCAGCCTGGAGAAGACTGAGGGGGGATCTGATCAATGTGTACAAGTATCTGAAGGGAGGGTGTCAAGAGGCTGGGGACAGACTCTTCTCCGTGGTGCCCAGCAATAGGACGAGAGGCAATGGGCACAAACTGAAACACAGGAAGGTCCATCTGAACATGAGGAAAATCTTCTTTCCTGTGAGGGTGACAGAGCCCTGGCACAGGTTGCCCAGAGAGGTTGTGGAGTCTCCTTCCCTGGAGATATTCAAAACCCGCCTGGATGTGATCCTGGGCAATATGCTCTAGAGGACCCTGCTTGAGCAGGGGGGTTGGACTAGATGATCTCCAGAGGTCCCTTCCAACCTCAACCATTCTGTGATTCTGTGAAAAATTTGAGGAGGTTAAGCAAAGAAACAAAAATAATAGATTAAAGGAAATTTTAACTTAAACAGATGGAAAGGAAGTATTCTGTGAGTTTTCCAAAGAGACAATTAAGAGATCCTTATAACAATTACCAAGACAAAAGAAAATTTTGACAAAAAAGGCTGTTCTGTCTAGCTATAAACAATGGCATTATCTTATATGTATAGAAGTGATCAGCTCTTTACAACCACAATGTAGTCATTTCTAATTAGATGTGCATTTTTTGTGCCTACACTTAAAAAATCAAATTTACTTAAGAACCCTGATATTAGCAAACATGACTTGTTAATGCTTAGCAGTTGAATAGCTAGCATATTCACAAATACACTTTCGATCCTTCATTAGAGGAATAATTTATCTTCGTTAGGACAAGAATAACACTTTACCATCCCCATACCTAGAAACATACAAAAAATAAACTTGATGACCTCAAAACAAACTCACCAACGATGTTCTATTTCATCTTGTAGGTATAAGGACCATTGCTATAAATACTGCCCAGAAAATATCTACAGAGATGAAATTTCCATGAAGTGTATAGAGCGTCCAAGCAACTGCGATAGCTGTGACAAGAACAAGTGTGGCTCATGTAACAAAGGCTTTTATCACTTAGGTAAGCAAAGATCCAGGTACAATATATACACAAAAGGATGTGAAACTTTTTCCTTAAAGAAAGAGTTTGGACTCAACTTCTGAAATTCCTAAATCCCTCCTATAGCAGTCAGTGGATGTTGAGGGCATTTAGCCCTTCACAGACTCAGGACCTATGTATTAACATACGGCACCACTTGGTTCAAAGGCTCCAAATATTTGACTACAAATTCCCACTGTTTCTTCCTAGTTTTGTTTTTAATGCATTTCCTCTCTCTTTGAGCACATACAGAAAAAGATTCTATTTGATTCAGACTATGGGAAAGGAGGTTGTTTTAACTCCTTGAAAGACATGGAAACTTTTCAAGTCTAGCAAGTCTAGCTTTACTTTGACTTTCAGGTCCACACAAAGTAATGAGCCTTGAACACACTGAGTTAAGTCCAGTCAAAACCACTCAATTTTACATCAAATTCACATAGGATTAAGAATTTCTCAGTTTTATTATGAAGCTATAAATCAGGCGGGTCTGGTTCAGACACAGTGCCAAATTTGAATCACAGGAAATCCTGAGGTTTTGATATTCTTGTGCACTGCCTACTGCATGCGCCAATAATGGAGTACAAAGCATCATGCTCATGGAAAACTCTGTGGTGACAACCTGAGGTGATCTGGTCTTTTTTTTTTTTTAATGAAATTGGATGAAGCACAAAAATTTATCACTGTAATAACTTATAGGGTCTTTGCTACAATATGCAAACCCTTAAATCAAATCAGCTTTAGCTTTTTATTCACTAGAAACCAGAGATGAGATTCATCCAGCCCTCAAAATGTGCATATATGTCTAAAAATCTTTGGGATTTCTGGACTTAGATTTTATATTGGGGCAGTATAAAAATTGGGATTTAACCATGAAATTTTGACTGAGACTTGGACTTTTGTAAGGTTTGTATGTGCCAGGATTTAGCACATGAATGAAGACCCAGGTGGATAAAAATTTAAGTGCAGATTGGTTTGAAGGGTTTATGAACTTTATATAAACAGGATGAATTTAGGATTCACAATAAAAATCTGGAGTATAGCTAGCTACAACAAGTTTCACAGGTTCTACTATATTATTTGTTTTTCTTAGGCTATTTCTTGTTGGAGACAGAGATGCTATATCCCTTCCCAATCTAAAGTACTGGAAGTTACCCCAAATACATAAAAGCACTTTTTTGAGAGATAAAATCAAACAAATACAGCTCGCAGATTGTACTGCTTCTCAGCCTCAGAATTCCTAGTTGCCTGCTTTTTAATATCCTTATCTGCTTTTATGTGAACCATGTGGCTGGAACTACACAAAAAAATTTCAGGATACATCTTTAGGTTTCCAATAAATTTGCATCATAGATTAAATTGGTTTTGTAGTTATATGGCAGTTAATACTAGCTAGTAATCCTAGAGTTAGTAGCATTCTTCCTTTACTGTTTTGAGCCTGATGGGGTTTAATAGCATTTTATCCACCTCCTTGTCATGATGGACACAGGACAGTTGATACCGTGATTTCAGGCTCTGTTTCTGTTGCAGGTGGCATATGTGTGAGTGAGTGTGGAGCTGGTTTCTTCAGGGATGACATCTCCAGAGAATGTGAAGCATGCCACAGGAGCTGTGCAATGTGTGTTGGGTACAGCTATGAGAACTGCACTGGATGCAAGAATAATTTCCAGTTATCTTGTGGTCAGTGCCTGAATCCAAGAAATGTTCCACCCAATGGGAAGTTCTGGAGTGGTAAGTTGCTACAGATTCCTTGATCTTTTTTATTTCACTGAAGACAGTTTAAAAGTTTAGAAAGACGATATCAAGATCATGCAGTTTGGGTGAAAATGCCCATTCATCTAACTAGATAAAAATAATTTTAAAAATATACTGACTAAAAACATTAGTTTCATCACAAAGTAAGTCATCTCTCTGTAAATAGCATAAAATTTTAATGCAGCTTAGATCCACTTTATAGGCTTTATACTAGCTTTTTGGCTGTTGCTTCCCTACA